AAAAAAAAAGAAACAAAACTGAGAAACAAGTACTAATTTCGTATAAAAGTAATAATGGTACTTTAAAGTTTGAATTCTCGATTTAACTCACAAAAATTCAAATGCAGGATACTCATTTTTGTTTACCCTTTATACAAACTGAACTTTTGGAAGAGTACTACAGCTGTTTGAAAGAAAGAAAAGCTGTTTTATCAAATACTGCAAGTGGCAGTTATATCCTGGAAGTTCCATAGTTGTAGCGCTAAAGCCATCTCCTCTCCTTCACCACAGTGGAATGACGGCCTGGCTTTAAGCTGCACACCATGCCTCTGTTGAAAACTACATTGGTAGTTATAATTCCACAAACCAATTACTTCTGTTTGCAATTAGATTTTCCCATCAAGCTAAGATCAAGGTGTTCTTCCACAACAGACGAATTTTTTTAAATACTGTAAAATTCTGATCTTTACAACTACTTAATCAGTTTTATTTTTGTACAGTATTGGTGACCTAAATTACTTTGCTGTCCTGTTTTTGTAAAGCAAATGAAATTATGCAATAAGATTTTGACAGTATAGGTTGTCCATATAAAAATAAATGACAGATTACCATGTTCCAGCAAAAAACAATTAAATTCTACTAACAGATCTACATGTGTAGTTGTGTTTGTGCGCACTGTGAGTGCTTATTTGCAAGTTACAGCGGTGTGCATCACAGCCTCCGCTTCCCCAGGACACTCACTGTACCATGCTAAGAGTTTCTTCCACAATTTAGGTTCCTATCTATACATAATGACTATTTCTGTCATTTGATAGTACTAATTTTAGACAATTCCTAGAACTTCCTGGTAATGGCGATGAGGACTTATAACCATATTACTGCCTCACACAAAATATACACACACCAAATACACACTTCCCCTCATTCCATGTTTCTTAATATAATTATATCATAATTCATATTATACCAATATTCATTGTGCATATCAATATGTCACAAATTTATTGTTCACAGGTAAAACACCTGGAATTATACTGTTTGTGGGGTTCTGGTTGTTTGTTTGTTTTATATTTTAGTACAGGGTCTACAGGGTCTCCCTATGCAGATCTGACTCGTAGTGATTCTCC